TGTGCTCCGTTGCTCTCGTTCGCAATATTTCTTGTTGGGCTTATCCATACGTGGTGTCCTGGGCGCGTCCGGAAGCTTCCCCGTTAGCAGTGATCACAACGCCATTTTACCGACCCGCAGGAGTGCCAAATCCTGATTGTGTTGTTTGTGGAGCTCTCGGCCGCACTCGACCGGCAGTTGCTTGCTGTCTTGATTGTGAGCATTGGTTTTGCGAGGAACATGGTTTCGGTGCTGTGCAAGTATGTCTGGGTTGCATGGACGAGCTTTACATTCAAGATCACATCGGAGGAGCCAGTAGTCTTGAGGCGTCCGCATTTATTGACGCAAAACGTTTACAAGCGCTGCGACACCGACAGCTTTCCATTCCGAACAACGCAGATCAGGCGGTGTGTCTGGCTGGGAAACTATTCGAAGTGGAAAGCCGCGTGAGGTCTCGAAGCCCACGCCCTGGAACCAGTTACAACACACTGTGTCGTAGGTTCGACTTAGATTTCTGTGAAAAAGAGTTTCAGGAGTCGATCAGCAAGTCTTGCGAAGTTCGTGTGGACAGCTTCCTCGCCAGTGGTCACTATGCTACATGTCCACCATTGTCCCCTCCGCCTGGAATGACTTCGCTGTACGATCACGGCATGGAGCATCGTCTACCGCCTCAGTTGCTTCTGTCTCGTTTGCCGCGGCCGCTGTTGGATTGCAAACCTATTTCCTTTGATGTGGAGCATCTGAAGGTGCCTGCTATTCTTGATCATCTAAGTCTGTTGCATGGTCATGAGCATGATCAGCACTTGAAATTCGAAGATGCAGGGCATCGTTACTTCTGGAAGAACGAGAGCGTCGACATATCAGTGACTGGCTTGCTTCGCTTATTTACTAGCGCATTCAAAGAACAAGACGTGATCGACAGCATGCGCCAAGGAAACAACTGGCCACGTGCTGCGTACGTCAAGCCGTATGCCTCGCTTCAGCTGTTGCAAACCGTTCAAGCAATGCCTGGCACGCAGGAACTTGTCAGCTTGCTGCGGCAGTTACCGCATGATCGAGAGGCAGTGGCCAAGCTCGTGCGGTCCATCCCGCGCTCCGATGCAGCGCAACAAGAGCTCGCGGACATGGTCAGCATGAGTTCCAAGGAAATCCGTGACTCGTGGGCCCAAGCGCGTCGAGTTGGTGCAGCTCGAGGAACATGGATGCACGCGCAAATTGAATGCCTTTTGAACGGTGGCTGCGTTACTTCCTGTAGCTTGGAGGTGGCGAAATTTCTGCGGTTCGTAGCTGATGGAGGCATCGGCAGCGCCTGCGTTTTTCGCACAGAATGGCGAATATACGCAACGAGCGAGTCTGTTGCAGGTTCAATTGATTTTGTGGCACGTGAGCCGGACGGTTCGTTGGTGTTGTTCGACTGGAAGCGTGCTCGCAAATTACATGAAAAGAACAATTCGTTTGGCAAGTTTATGAAGTCGCCGGTCAGCCATTTGCCTGATGCTGCACTTTGGCGTTACCGATTGCAATTGAACTTATACAAGTGGATTTTGGAGAAGTATTACAGTATGCATGTGGCCGCGATGTACGTTGTGTCTTTCCACCCTGACGATCACACTTTTGTTGACAAAGTTCAAGACATGCAAGTGGACGCAAATGCCATTATGACCTACCAGAGGCGACGCTTACAGGACAGAGTTGCTCAAACAGGAGCGGATTGCGTTGGAGGAGCAGCAGAAAACAATCGAAACGACTGTGATGACATAATATTCTCGCAGCTGTTCGAAGCAGAGATGCAGGATATGGAGCTTCCCTTGCCGAAGCTCTGCAAAGTCAGTTCGCCAGGTTGGGGTGATGATATTTCGAAGATCCTGCGCGTTGACGAGACTTCCTTGCTGTGTGATGCTTCCTCAGATCTTCCGCAGTCTGAGGAAGGTAGCATTCTGCGTGAGATAGAAGACGATCCAGCAAGGGTGGCTCAGCATGGCCACTCGTCCTTGTGGCACAAAAGCTTACAGCATGTTATGCAAAAAGCAATCTGTGTGCATCGACTGCGCTTGCTGGACATTTCTCGTAGAGAGGAAGTTTACTTTCTCGAGCTCATTGAAGGAAGCTCGCGGCATGTGCGAGCTCACGGCGGCCAAAGTGCAGACAAACTTCCAGAGAGATTGCCCTATGCTACACAGACGCAGTTACTTGAACTTCGTGGCTGGAAGCGATTCGAATTCAACCCATTACCCAAGCCGCTTGCCTGCAAGTGAATGTTTTCTGTTGAGACCGTGGAGTAGGTATGTGCAAAGAACCTCGTCTGCTTAGGTTTGTTGGCATCGACGAGGAAACAGTCAGTTCGTTGTTTCCACGATCGCTTGTTGTTCGTTACAAAGCATCGTTCTTGGACCGCGACCACATATTGGGCAAGCTACACCAGCCAGAGGAGCGGCGGTGCTTACAAGACAGACTTGCTCAAACAGGAGCGGATTGTGTTGGAGGAGCAGCAGAAAACAATCGAAACGACTGTGATGACATAACATTCTCGCAGCAGGTCGAAGCAGAGATGCAGGATATGGAGCTTCCCTTGCCCAAGCGCTGCAAAGTCAGTTCGCAAGGTTCGGGTGATGATATTTCGAAGATCCTGCGCGTTGACGAGACTTCATTGTTGTGTGATGCTTTCTCAGATCTTCCGCAGTCTGAGGAAGGTAGCATCCTGCGTGAGATAGAAGACGTGCGAGCAATGGTCGCTCAGCATGGCCAATCGTCATTGTGGCACAAAAGCTTACAGCATGTTGTGCAAGGAGCAATCTGCGTGCATCGACTGCGCTTGCTGGACATTTCTCGTAGAGAGGAAGTTTTCTTTCTCGAGCTCATTGAAGGAAGCTCAAGGCATGTGCGAGCTCACGGCGGCCAATGTTTTTTTTTTAGCGAACATGGTCACTGGGCTGTGTACAACGGTGTAATTCCTCAAGGAGTTCTGGCTCGACGCAAGAAGTTCCTGCTCTTCCTTGAAGGTTTATATAGACTGCTGCCGACCGATACACTCCGCACACCAGAATCCATCATCAACGCAGTGTCGCTCTTGCTGCATTCAAAGAACAACAGTGCAGAATTCTTGCTTCAAGAATGTGAGAAAGCAGCGATTTGCGGCAGCCCCATCGTCAACAAGAAACGCAGAACAGCGGCAATTGCACAAGATGATGAGGTCGATGCAGCAGGGGAACAGGATGACAACAAGCCATGGACGCAGGTTATGGCTAGTACTGTGGGCAAGCTGTATGTGAAATTGCGTCCTGGCTGCAAGCTGTTGTGGTTAGTGTGAGTTAATGTAATTCGTGTTGGCTTAGATAAAATGTGCAGATGGAGTGATATCTGGTCGCAAGGCAAAGCTCGTTGCTACATGACCATTTGATCAAATATTATGTCGAATGGTGTGGAATTGACGATCCTCGCAGGCCTGGGTTTTGTACTCGAGATGCGTGTCTTCTGTTTGATGAAGACAGAGGCTTGAAGCAGGTGCAGAAGACCGGCTCGAACAACGTTTACGTGTTCCTTCCGCATCGGTTGCTGGATCCCGTGTCGGATGATGTCAAAAGTCGACTCAGTAATTTCTGGAAGACAACGTATTGGAATAATCACGCGGCTTTCGGATGCTTCATGTCAGCACTGACATATACAAGGAGAAAACGTCGATCGTGCGTTCTGGGGAATTGGATCTGGTGGGGTTGGTCAAAGCCTGCAGACCGCGCACATGGAAGCAGTTTTAGGCAGTTTTCACGCATGCCTGGATATGAATATCTACTATTCAGACGAGGAAATGCGTAAACAAGCTGCTTCTTTGTTGGGCAAACTGGTTGTTACTGGCCAAGAATCGGTGCAGGGCAGCCGTAGAACCATGCGTGAAGATGTCTACAAGAAACATATATCGGCAGACAAACTTCCAGAGAGACTGCCTTATGCTATAGAGACGCACTTGGTAGAACTTCGTGGCTGGAAGCGATTCGAATTCAACCAGCTACCTAAGCCGCTTGCCTGCAAATGAGAATGTTTTCTGTTGAGACCGCGGAGTACGTATCTGCAGAGAACCTCGCTTGCTTAGGTTTTTCGGCGTCGACGAGGAAACATTCAATTCTTTGTTCCGACGATCGCTGGTTGTTCGTTACAAAGCATCGTTCTTGGACCCCGACTACATATTGAGCAAGATACAACAGCCAGAGGAGCGAGGCATTTTCCCAAAAGATCCAACCCTGAAAGATTTTCTGCGATCGAGCCCGGCTTGTCTTGTAACATTGCGAGCACTGTGGCAGTATGCCCGAGACCATAACGCTGCGCACTGCAGAAAATGCCTTGACGAGTACGTGGTCGGAGGCAAGGACGAAGGCTTGACAGAGTTGTGTGTCAGGCAGGCGTGTGGACTGAAGCACGCGTCGAAGCCAGAAGATCCTCCGCATGATGTTGATACTTCCAAGACAGAAGGTCAACCGCCAGCTGTATCAGAAGAGGTTCTTGCAGTTTTACGCAAGCAACGAGATGAGATTGCCAGTTGGATGATCCAGGTGAAAAAGGATTTCTGTACGCGCGGACAATTACGAAGTGTTAAAGGCAAGCATGCGTGGACTGCATTCAGTCGTCAAGATGTAGATGACGTTCTGGATGCATTGGCTGCGCATAAGCTCATGCACAAGAGCTCTCTGACGCTGCCCAGGTTGGGTCTGACCGACGTCTTTTCACCAAAGATCTCCACGACAAAATCTATGACGGATGTCGTCGACATGAAGCATGATGACGCAGCTGCTTTTCCAGAAGCATATGATTGCCAGTCGCTGAAGCGACACATGCTGAGTCATAAAGGCCGTCTTGCAAACCACGAGGTGTTGCAACAAGCTCATAGGACAAAAGCCAGAGAGCTGAAAAAAGGCAAAGGCGGTGGCGCAGGTGTACCCACAAAGGAACAACGCGTGCTCCAAGATGACCAGGAAGGTTTAGTACAATCAATGTGCAACCATATTCGACAAGAGCAAGCGCTCGTTGCCGAAATGCAGAACTATCTCGAAGACGGCGGCGTCGGTGTGGAGCAACATGAAATGGTTGTTCAACGAACATATGCATATAAGCTGGAAATGCGTTGTCGCCGCAGTGTGAACGGCTCGGGTGCACAAAGCTTTTCAAAGGTGCTTCGCAGCATTGTCTGCAAGAACATGCGGGATTTTGATTTCCACGCGAGCATGTTCACCATCGTGGTGCAGCTTGTGGACAAACTCGACGCGTCGTTCAATGACGTGTTGCCAAGCTTGAAATCATGGCGTGCTATTGTTGACAACAGACAAGCAGTGTGCGAGAACATACTGCAATGCAGTCCGGTCCGAGGCAAGGCACTTCTGTTGCAAGTAGCTAATGGTCAAGCAGTGTCCTCAGCCGAGGATATTTGTGAAAAAGGCCAGCAATTCATAGAGGATTTGTCCAATGAAAGCCGATGCTTACGTTGGCTCGCCCGAAGTCTGTGCCCGGATATATATGAGAAAGTGAAAGATGGTACCGACGGATTCAAGCAAAGCTCTTGGCCAGAGGCAACAGTCTTCTCGTACTGGTGGTATGCTGCAGAAGATTATTGTCTCAGCAGTATGTTGGATTTATTCCAAGATCTCCATGCACCACGCCAGCACATTTCTCTGCACTTCGATGGCCTTTTACTGTCGGATGATCTTGTGCAGGCTGTGGAACAGAAGCACGGCGGTAAGAGCTTCGCTGACATAGCTCAAGCTCAAATATTTGAACGCACTGGGTTCCGTATCCTTATAAAAGAAAAGCACTTCAGATCGTTGGTGGAGCAGCTGTCGGACTTGGAAAATACATCTTCGCATTTGGATTCAGTCGACGAGACGTCATTGACATTACTTTCATTGCCATGCAACTGCATACCCTTCGCTTATGCCTGTGTAACAGGCGAATGGCTGTTTGTTACTGAGATGCTGCAGAAGGTCAACCAAGCGAACACTCGTGCAAAAGAACGTGGCTACAGATGCTACAAAGACTGGTCAGAGTACAATCAAAGGTTCTTGAAGCCATGCTTGACATTGCCTGCCACACCAAATACGTGTTTTCTCATACACGCTGATGTTGATGGCACGCCTCGCTGCTTTGGTGCTAAAGTCTTGGCCGATAGTCAGCTCCAAATCTTCCACGAGCGCAGAGCGTGCACTTTGCCAATCCTCTCTTTAGAGGAGATTCTTGCTCAAACGTGTGAGACTTTCAGCGTTGTCTTTTTCAGTGTCCAAAGCGTGAAGCCAGAAATGACGGCCTCGGAAGCAGAACTGTTGGATCTAGTCGCAGGTTGCACTTCGAACCGTTGCCTGTTTACAGACAGGCGTGGTGGTGGTGAGGCTGGCGATGCAGATGTGCAAGTTGGGCAACATCTACGAGACCTTCTCGAACAGGAAGTGAAGGACGCAATTGGCCAAATTCAACAGCAGAAGGGACATTCGTTCGGGGCACAAGTCTGCCCGTTGTGTCCCTGGCGACGTTTCGAAAAAAGAACCTACTTATTGACGCATATCACCAAGCACCACAGTGTCAGCAAAAGGTTTGTGGCATCCGGCACAAAGCAACTTCGCGTCATTGCTGCCATGTACGATGACGACGCTGCGCGACAAGCATCCCACAGCAGATACATGAGTCGTTCAGCAGAACTTCTTCGAAGCCAAGTCAAACCTGGAGTGTCTTCCAAGAAGAATGTCATTGACAAGGACATACGCCTTTGCTTGACGACTAAAGGTCCTTCTTTCATGTCGATGCAGAAAATCAAGAAGGCCAAGGATTTGAGACGCGTCGGAAATGTCTACTACGACCGTTCCTTCGCAAATGACTTTATGTGCAATGCTGTAGCAAGCCGAGCATCTTTCCGGCAAATTGCAGCCTCTTTCACATCTTCCACCGCGCGACATCAAGGCGCGTTATGCTCCATGCTGCCAGAAGCCAGTCATTCGTTTTGGTGCAATGTATTGGAAGACTTAACTCAATCGCCGCAGATCAAAGTCAAGCTCCAAGATCTTCTACAAGAGTGTGAGGCTCATACCGAATTCGAGTACTTAAGCATCGATGCCACGGTCAAGTGCATGATGAAAATTATTGGCCAAGCGCACTTCAACAGCAGCCAAGACTGTCGTGATGCTGCGGCAATTCCTGATTCAGCGGCTGCTTACAAACTTCTGACAGTGCGTGGACGTACGAATGCTGTGGTTGGCTTGTGTGGAATTCGGTCGGAAGGTTCGCGAGAGATTGCATCTGGCTTGAGCAGCGTGCTGACATTGTGTCAGCGAGCACAAGTTCTGCACATGGCATCAGACTCGCCGAGTGTGGAGCTTTTCGCGACGTTGAAGAATACATTTCCGAACTTGCAGTCGCTTGGCCTGGATGCCATGCATATCGTTATGGTTTACGAACAAAATCATAACAACAAGAGAACCAAAGGCAGCAGGTGGCTGGCCACAGTTATGAACAAATTTCGCAACATTGATGTGGAATGCCCTGCCGCTGCCTGGGGACCTATGTACACCGGACAGCAGCAAATTCATTACACAGCTGAAGAAAAGAGACTGTCAGCGTTGGTTTCCAATGCAAGTATGCCTGAAGCTGAAGCTCTGGGTATTCTGCAACAGCTAGATCCTGATAGTCCTTGGCGAACAGAGTCACAGTTCCTAGAGGCGATGGCTGCAATATGTACGCTATTCCGCGACGAACTGACAAAAACAACCTTCTCCGGTCCCACTTTGCATCGACTCTTGATTAATCTTACATCGCCTGTGAAAATCCAATGGCTGTTCAACGACACGAGATACCGCCACGCGTGTTCGCCCTCGCAAACGCCGTTGCTGCCGAGCGGTACTACATCTAACGAGTCACTGCATCACGAACTGAACAGTTGGTTTCACGAAATCGCTGCTTGGCAAAGGTTATATGTTTTTTTTAGTTGCTCTTGTGGCGTAGCGTGGTGCAAGCTTGGAGAACTAAGGTGGCGATGCATCGCTCCACATTGGAAACGAAGCTGATCTTTTTCCAGTTTGTGAAACTGAGCAGTCACAATCTGTCGTTATATCATTCTTTGCAACGACAGAATACACAGAAGCAACTAGCCCATCGCCTTATCGGCATGGCAGACATTTGGGATTCCAAATCATGGAAGGCTTGGTGTCGGGAGCTTATGCAGGACAAACGTGCACCCAAAAGAGCGCTGCTGGCTGGTGCAGAGCAACGCAAAGCTACCCAAGCAGCAGTCAAAGCAGCTCCGAAGCTGTTTTCCAAATCATTTAAAAGGCCTAGCTCCGCAATTCCTCCGCCGCCAAAGCGGCAGCGAACTAGGCGTCATCCGTTCTCACTTCGCGTCCTGGCTCCGTTAATACGGCCAGGTCGCCACAAAAGCCGTGCAGCAGCGACTGCATAATGAATTCGTCAAGCAGTTGACAGAAGAAGTATGTAAGATTTCGAAAATTTCCATTACATTCAAACTGCTTAGACTGCACAGGCTCAGTGGATCACTTCGATCTGGTTATTCATCATGTTCGGCAGTGCTGAAAACAAGCAGTCCATGTGCTCTTCCAACAATCCTAAACCATTCCGGTCATAGTTCTTTTCATAGCCGTGCAGTCAAATTTCAGCCAAGGCGACAGTCATGCGCGTGGAGGTATAACAAACACTAGAGTGTTTAATGCACGAGAAGACCTTTTGGCCAAGATGCGCTGCTACAGCGTTGGAGCGACTATCAGTCATGTGGACTTTGGAAATCCTGCGTGCCTTTACATAACTTACTTACATGTTTGACTGCTGACGAAGTGCTGCTGTGGTAAAGCCTGCCTCCGAGCTCGAACCGCCGCAGCCTGTGATCCTGGTTTAATTTCCATTGTGAATCCGTGTCTGCTGTAAGCTCTAGAAGTCTGAACAACACGGAAGGTATTAGTTCCTGACAAAGCTTTAGGTTCTGAACGCGAACGGAAATCGATGCCTTGTCCAATTCGTAGGTGTCGCAATAACACTATGAGCACGATGTTATGGTCAGCCATGTACGTAGGGCGGGTCAACGCTTTGTGGCCCTAGCCCATTTTCTGTGCGGAGCCGCTTGTCCGTATAATCTTCGTTCCGTGCCCTGTCTCAAACGCAACTTTGTGACTCAAGAACCTGCCGCAATAGCTCAAAGCTATGTCTTGCATACGACCTAGAAGACATGAGCCATTCCCCTCTGCGCAAACCACTCGCTAAGTGTTGTGCTAGTAAGCTAGTAAAACATCTGTTGCGAGCGTGCTTGCAGCGGAACGCGAGTGTACAGGAATACATCGTTGTCGAGTATCACCATCGGACCGAGCACTGCTGTTTGCAGTCGTTGATGTCGAATTTTGACTCTTGCCCAAAACAAAACCCCAGCGCGTGCTTGTGCTCGGAAACTGTAGCTGCATGCTGTTTACCATGCATGTCGGTTAGTTTTTGCTCCGCACACTGTGCGTCGAAGCGATGGACTGCTGGCAACTTATCTGCACCAGACCCTTGTCTTCGTTTACAACAATTCCACCAACCGAGCGCTTAACCAAGGCTAGAATTTCGAGCTAGTATATAACTCTTGCCATATCAACAACTAGATCCGAGCAGCCATCGGGTTTCTGTTTTTTCCGTTGCTTTTGTTCACTCGTGCCTTCTACAGGGAGGGTGAAGTGGTGAGACCACCCGGGGGCACGGGTGAACAAAATTATGGTTTAGTAGTGTATGCTATGGTGTTTATGGTTCACGCTTTAATGGTTTAAGCTCTAGGGTAGAAACGGGCAGTCCTGAAACCAGGTGCTTGAGAGTTTATGGTTTTTCCGTTGCTTTTTGTTCACTCGTGCCTTTTACAGGGAGGGTGAAGTGGTGAGACCACCCAGGGGCACGGGTGAACAAAATTATGGTTTAGTAGTGTATGCTATGGTGTTTATGGTTCACGCTTTAATGGTTTAGGCTTTAAGCTCTAGGGTAGAAACGGGCAGTCCTGAAACCAGGTGCTTGAGAGTTTATGGTTTTTCCGTTGCTTTTTGTTCACTTGTGCCTTTTACAGGGAGGGTGAAGTGGTGAGACCACCCAGGGGCACGGGTGAACAAAATTGTGGTTTAGTAGTGTATGCTGTGGTGTTTATGGTTCCTACTTTAATGGTTTGGGCTTTAAGCGCTACGATAGAAACGACCAGCCCTGATGTCGTGGTTTAAGGGTTAGGCTTAGACGTTAGGTTTTAGAGTAGAAACTGTCTTCAAATCAATTGGCACAGTTGCCTTCCGTGATACCTCAAGCCAGCTGAGTGGTGGCGGATGATCTCCATCTTCACTATAGTCTCACTGCAATCGATACCAGCGACTATGCAAAACAACGTTGCCCAAGAACGCGCGCCATGGCTGTCAGGCTGTTCCTGTGAGCTCTTAACCCCGAGACCCAAACCAACGCTTTTCATCTACAAATCATACTCCCGTATCCTGCCCCCTATCGATAAAGGTCTATGGCCTGAAGGGTAGGCCAGTAGGGATAGGGGTCTATGCCTTTTCAAATAGCCATGTCTTCGATAAGAGTCTATCCATTCCAATAGGCGGCTACTTTCCAGACTATGTGTTACGTCGGTGTGTGCGGGACTATGCAGTCTTCCATGGTTTGGCAGTTGTCTTCATATGGGAGTTCTCTGTAAATACTAGCGAGCTCATCGTGTAGGAAGTTTCCAAGCACGAGGCGACTGGTAAAAACCCACAGCGGGAGCTTCTAAATAGACCCGGTTTTGCTCAGCCACCCCCCCCCCCCCCCCCCTCCCCCCTCCCCTCTCTCTACTGCGTCCCGTCCCCACCCCCAACCCCAATCCCACTCACCATGCACATAACACACCAAAAACCAAGCGCGCGCTGGCACCATTTCCACAAACTTTACCACTTTGTCTATCCTCCTTGGAAGAACACGTCGAGTTGCTGTATTTCTCGCACACAACACAACTTCGTTCGCCGATGTTGTGAAAACGCTGGTAATTACAATGTCTTTTTGCGTCTGAAGTGTATGAGTTTATGCTTTGTGAACAAGTTGTATAGCATCACCCTTCCCTGTCTATGAACAAATGGTTTGTTCAGGGCACGTGAGCTGCTTACAGAAGTGCTGTATCTTCTCACGGTTCACAGGGTCTCGGCTGTACACAGACCGTCGCGATGTACACATCAAGGACAGTCGTAAGGATGGAAGGCGGTTTAGGGTTTAGGGACCAGAAAGAACCCTCAAAGCCTTATTTTGACATTCCATCATAGTTTCACTCTTCAATAGAAGCTAAATTCTGGCAATATCCGACATTGCTACTGCCAGCACTACAGCAGTTTTTTGGGGAAATTGCGTTCTTTACTTCGAGATCAGCTTATGTGACTTATGTGACACTGATGTATTGTATGTATGTCATAATGCAAGGCTTCCGAGCCTTTGCTTCCTGGATATGACGATATACACTGTGTGTGCTGTTGTGTTTCGCTGATTTCCGCTATTCGCTTGCCTTGTGCTGTTGATTTCGACGAACGTGGTGATACATCCATATTTTGAAAAATTGTGGATCTCGACAAAAACGCATCTTCGACTGGGAAAACCATGATGCAGAGTGTATGCGAGTTGAGGACCGTGTTAATGTGAAAGTGGTGGGGTGGCAACTGGGAAAACAACTGTTCAAGGGTCATCGCAACCTAAATCACATGAACCGAACAGAAAGCTATGTATTGCTGTGAAACTGGAAGGCCCTAGGCTCCAAATACGTAGCACTGCGTTACAATAGAAACTAAATCTAAAACACACTACTCACTGATTTGTGTACATACAGGCAGTGTGCACCCCTGACACAATGTGTGTTGTAGCACTGCATAAAACATACTATGTATGTACATGCTCCCAGTTTGCAGCAGTAAACTCCTGCGATTGTCAGCATTGTTGTATACTGTTGTGAAGCCCCGCATAGGTAGGTAATACTGCAATCTTCAAAATGGGAAGAAAGTGGAAACTCACGGACATGTGCCAACTCAACACACAAGGAAATCAGAACACGGCGGGCGACACGGCTCCAAAGATTTTCGAGAGTCCAAGTTGTGGAAACAAATGCACGGTGCGTGAAATACTTTGTCTTCTTTCGTTTCGCTCGGATGTGGCCGGGTGTCCACTGCGTACAGGGTGCCATAATTAGCGATGATTATTCGTACCATGACCATGCAAGCACATAAACAGTGCATGTGCTCATGTAAGTTTAGCTGTGGAATATATACATGTGCACGTGTATTCGAGTGTATGCATTTTATATGTTCATAGGCCCTCATGGCCTTTTACAAGCAATTGCAACCACACACACACATGTATAAATACATATATATATATATATATATAAACACACATACGTACGTACATATATGCACATGCATAGGTGCTTCGTATAATGCTAAAACGCCAAAGACGCCCAAAAACATAAAATGCAAAACCCAGGCCCCATGACAGCCCGCTCTCTTTATCCAAGGGTAAAGGGAGGGACCCTTAATGAGGACCCCTAGGTATATACCCTTAATATAGCCATTATATACATATTATATAGCCCAACATAGGGCAGGGGTCCCCATTAAGGGTCCCTCCTTTTCCCCTTTGGTTTTAGGTTTCTGTAAGGGTTTGGGGTTTAGGGTTCAGGGTTTATGCTTCAGGGTTCAGGGTTTATGGTTTAGGGTTCTGGGTTTAGGGTTTAGGGTTTAGGGTTCTGTAAGGGTTGATAGAAGGGTGCTGCTTGTATGGTTTAGGGTTTTGGGAGTAGGATATCTAAACTTGGACTCCCATGGCTTCTAGATGGTGTTTCTTCCAGCTTAGGGCTGCATGTGAGATGTACGGCTTAGGATGCCTACATCTTTTCGTGCATGGGGTTGTTCTTCTTTGTGAGAGTTCGGGGTGTTGGGCTTGGAGGAATATCAGAGCCTACAGGGGCCTAACCCCCCAACCCCGAAATCCCAGATTGAAAAAGGGGTTGTGAGCTTTGGGTCTTCTGCGCCTTCAGATGATTTTTTTCTCTCCTAAAAAAAATACAATCGTCTCGAGGCATGGTAAGCTAGTAGAACCGTGAGCCAGCCAGCGCCTGCTAACCCTAATATTAATACTAATACTTGTACACATACTAATATTAAGACTATTACTAATACTAATACTAATATTATACTACTTGCTAAGCGTAAACCTCAGAAAGCCCCACCCCCAAAACGTTCGACCTCAAGACCCTCAACCGTAACACAGGGTCATCAACCAATCAATCCTAATCCCTAAACCCCTAGACCATAAACCCCTAAACCCCCAATCCCAAAGCCCCTAAACCCTCAACTCTCGCAAACCTCCGAACCAGGTCCAGCAAGGTATCATCAGCCCGGAGACGGGACGATAAGCTGCGGGGTCCAGAGC